GCCCCCTCTTCATATTTCGGCGTGCTTTGGCACGTAATATCTTCTTCCTTCAGAGAAAGAAGTATCCTCCGGTCAAAACGAAACGTTGCCTCGCGTCTGTCATACTGAGGAAAGCAGTCTGTCCGCGAGGAACACGACGTTCATTAGCTGACGTTTCGTCGAGCGGAGGGAGGTGACGGCCAGCCAAATCCCCGGTGATCCTGTTATGAGCCACAAACCTTAAGGCGATTTCCACAAGGCGGACAAAGTCCAGCCACTCGGCAGGGGTGTCAAAATTTCGATAGTCTATTTTTTCATCGCTTGGCACTGTGGTCTTACCAGAACACGGAAGTTCCTGCTATCTCTTTATTAGGCTTGAATATTCTGCTCTGCATCCTGTTCTCAAACACCCTCAATTAATGACCACCCCTTTGAGTGGAAGACCGAGCTTCACATCGGTACAAAACTACAGGTAAATTTATAGTTTACCAAGTTTATGTCTTTGGTGGAGACAGCAAGACGAACTATTCTAAATTAAATGTTAGCAAGAAGTCAAATTCTCCGAATTTGCTTTAAATTTCTTCATGATTGTATTTTAATTTGTATTCGTCATTTCCATATATTTGAACCTTTACACATTTATGACAGGTTTATTAATTAGTACCTGTGAGTTATGATTTTGTTTTAAATTCTGGTGACGAGGCATGAACTTGCGTAGTTGACAGAATTTCGTTAAATAAATTATTAAATAACTGGATACATTTTGACAGCGTTATAGAAAGATGTCGATACTCCCAACTATCTCGTGGAGTCTGAAATGTCTGTTCCATCTGCGACCTTAGTTTGGCTCGGCATCCATCACCCTGTCCCTAGGGACGCCCAGCTCGCGTAAACACCGCTGTTCGGGAAGCATCTTGTCAGCTTTTCAGTATACTACTGCTTGCGTTTGGTATTTTATATGCTCAGCTTTCATTCACCAGCATGCGAGCAACAGTGAGATAACAGCAAATAAACTTTACATAACATTCCATTCTTGTAAAAATAGATCTAATTGCAGTACAAATAAGGAATTAACTTGAAATTTAAAAGAAGACTTGTAAATATTTGTTCATTAATTTGCTTATAAGTACATTTATTTACTCTGTTTGAAGCCTAGTTGCGTGAAGTTTTTATTTTTCTTGTGTACAGAAAATTGTAGCTCCGAAATCATAATTCAATTTGGGACGAACTTTTCAGTAAAACGAATAAATGAATTGAAATTACTAAACGTTATACTAATGCCGAATATTTTGACGTGGGATTAATATCTTAGTCATTTTTAAGGAATGTTTTGTGTACATGATGATGTTACAGACCAAGTTTTTCTTAAAAGAATCAATTCTACTAAGCATGCCGATAAGAATGTTGTAAAATTTTGAATGTAGTGACGGCGTTGTAATTATTAAATAGAATTCATAATGCCAGGCTGAGTGACATATATGAGGGTGGACTGAAATGTAATGCCTCATCTTAAATTAAATATGAATGGAAGGAATTTTTCAATGAAACATATACAAAGTTTATAGTTTACTCGACAAAATAATACATTATTTTTCTACGTAGTCACTCTCTACTTCAATTCACTTACGCCAACGAAAAACTAATTTTTTAAACCCGTTCTTGTAAAACTTTGAGTTTTGTTCACGTAAACATTCTCTCACAGCAGACTTCACTTCATCTGACCCAAAATGTTGGCCCCGTAGATATTCTTTGAGCTTAGGGAGGGGATGAAAATCACTCGGTGCCAAATCTGGGCTATATGGGGGGCGAGAGAAGAAGGAAAAATCACACCCTCGAAACCTATTTTGACTAGGATTATTTCCTAGAACAAGCACCCTCACAACCCAGCGGGTTGTAAAGACGTGGAAAACTATTGAAAGAATAATACTGGTTTTATGATTAAAGCAATATTTATTATGTTTTCTATACAAAATCCACATAATTTGTGACAAGCATCAGCATATTTAATAACACTTTGTTTTGTACAAGTAAATTAACTTTTCGAAACAAATTGTACATACTTGTGTAGGAAATTTATTAGATATAGGCTCTACTCCACATGAAATGTACTTTAAGTGGAGCAGCCTGCTTAGATCTTATTCGCCGTGGTGTTATATTAGGCCCCATGTTTATAATCCAGTTTGTTTATATTAACATGTTGCTGTTTTCGTTAACAACTTCACAGTGTGTAGGGTTGTAAAGTCGCCAAGGTTAGTCATTTTAGAGAGAATTGTGATTTCTTTTATCATTCTACAAGTAATTACCTTCAAGTTTTTAGTTATTTGGTATTATGGAATACCTGTCACGGGATATACATAAATGCAAAATACTGAAAACAATTGACTTATTTAGGATTTGAGGTTTTCACGACGGTGAGCCTGAAGATGTCTGTCCTCTGGGTTTTTGCACCGTGTAGTCTGGTAAAAGTTTGTTGACTTTTCAGAGGTCCTTGCTGCCTCCATCAACAGGGCGCCCTGATAATGGAGACAGCAAGGACCTCTGAAACGTCCGAAAACTTCTACAAGACGACAAGGCGCGGTAAGCAAGAAGACAGCCATCTTCAATTTACTTTTCGTTTTCCGCGAAGTATGCAGATTTGCAGTTACACAAATAAATGGTGTTTAAAAATACTTTCCTCTATAGATCTCTTCCCGAAAGAATATAGAGACGTACTTTTATATTCCACTTGCTTCAAGTCCACAAGTTTTCAAAGTACGATGTACGAGCATCGTATATACAACTCATTTCCTACCATAATATTTTGATAATTTGTTTACACAATTACCAATTTATAATGAATATTCGAACCAACACAGAAGTATACTGATGTGTTGGTTGAAATACAACCACCAAAGGAATTACTATCGAAAAAAATGTCTGAGACCGCTTGTATAATTGAGAGTCTTGGCATTGCTTAAGAAGAAGAAACATGATTTATTAAGACTTGTTTATTTCTCTGGGTTGCCTTATATGTATTCTCATTTTACAAGAAAGTTTACCGTGTGTAAAAAGAAGTTCAAATCTGCCTGCATAAAAGTTAAAATGACCCAAGCGAATCTGTGCCATAAAAATTTCATGAAGTCCCGTTAAACATTTACAGAGATGTTCATTCTGCCTGCCTTTAATTCCATAAGTAAGCCTGTTTTTCCTTGAGAAACTTCATTTTGGAAGGCAGCGTGCCGGAATTTAAATAGGAAGATGCTATTCTGGTCGATTACATTTCTGCTTTGTTTCCGTCCTGATGTTACAGGTTGTTCCACTTTGTTATTAATTTCCATTGCCAGCTTAATTATTTGTAGAGCATTCTGTTTTAAGCTGGTTTTAAAACCTTACAACATTTACAGCATTGTGTGTACGAGGCATCGATCTCTAAACAAAGGATTTGTGAACGATCTTTGGATCTCTGTATGTTGGTAAGTAGGGAACTCCCTGCACGAAAATTTCTAGTGGAAAACAAATTAGCTCTTTAAAATAATCTGCCCCAAATTCACGCATTCTCTCTTTGTAAATATTATACTCTAATAATAATACATTGTTACATATTAGTGAATTGAATGAACTCGCCTAAAGGCATGAAAGAATCATTTTCTGATACCCGAATTTTAATAAAATTGGGACATCTAACCTAGTAGACTGGAATAAAGCCCCAAAGCATTTACATGGTTGAGTTTATTTCTGTTATGAATTTTACAGGACCCAAATGTTGGTTTTTCGGATCTCATCCACTGTGAACAACGACGTTTTTTCTAAATACCCCATTCGTTAAATTTAATGAAGTCGCAGCAGTGAAGGTTGTCATGGGACACGGCTCATGCAGGGATGACTTATTTATATCCAGAACTTTCTTATTTTCCTCTTAAGTTGGGACAAAATGTCGCAGGTCGAGTTGAAAAATTCTTGCCTTTTATTCTGTATGTCTAGAAATCACGTTAGATTAGATTTATATTTATTGCTGATCAAATCTTGTAGCTACACATTTAAATTGTTCTCTCATTAAATATAATAATGTAATAGTATTTGTTTAAAATTACGTAATAAATAGGATTTCATTCTAAAATAAAATTATATTTAGTCTTTAATAATCTGCTTCAATTATTTTTTGTCCTTTATCAGAATGCGACGTATTATTCAAAATGTTAACGAACATTATGTGCGTATTGATTTACACCACCTTTTAATGCATTTTAGATGAAACTTACTTCAGTTATAAATATCACTCATTAATAATTTACTTTCAGTATCTTATTTTTCACGACATTGCCTCATCTTCCTTCTGTACCCAAGACTAAGTATGCGGTTTAGACAGCATAGAAATAAAAACAAATGAACGCCAATATTTAGATGTGTTAGGTTACATATGAAAATCTGTTGTTGCATATGTATTGAAACAGCACAAAATTATAAATAGTTATTTTCGTCAAATATTTACAACATTGAAAAATGTTTTAAACGAGTCACAGATTTGAATTATATATTTTTATGTCGTGTGCATAAGGTTTGTACGTACAAATAACTGGTTTTGAGAAAATTCAGAATACCGATTTAACCTTCTCATTTGAGAAAGTTTATATTCTTGGCAGATACAACCGAAAGGTAACAACAGCATTTAAGTGTAGACCGCCAATGAGAGGTTTTATAAAATTTTATCGCCAGACATTGAAAATCATTGCATTAGGTCTATGTGTGATAACTGAATTCATGTGTAAGACCTTTTAATTTTATATAACTTTTAAGCATTCTATATATTTTATGCATACTAAATCCATCTTAAGAAACTGAGTATTAATGTTAAGTGAATGGAATAATAATCCACAAAATTCAAGCTATAAGAATCGGAACTGTAACATTTTACTTCATTTAAAACAATGGCAATATCAGTCTGTAGAACCCATGCTTTGTCTGCACTTCATTTGACTGAATAGAACCATCTTATAAGCGGAAAAGAACACGAGCTTAGAGTCATTATTATCAGTTCAAAGAAGTTACTTAAACTGAAGCAGAATTATAATGTAGGTTGTGGCAACTCCCACCATGCTGTACACAAGCGATAAATTGACTGAAAAAAATCCGCCAGCGGTGAACTGAACTTTATTGCTCAGAAGTTGCATCGAGAACAGCTGAAGTTCTGCCGAAGTGTCGCCTTTCAGTGACTGACGTAGAAGTAACTTGTGAACCACAGTGCTAGTTCTACGTGCCTCTTCAGTGGCCGCAAAACAAGACCCAGTAATGCAGAGTACTCTAACCAGATTCTGTGTGACCCAACACAAACTTGACACGACCTCCAAAATAAATGACTCTTCTCCTCTCTGATTATGGTCCACAGTCATCTTTACATTCAGTGTCTCCAGAGCATAATATAAGTATGAAACTAATGAAACAAAATCATAGCCTACTTCCAAAAGAATTTGGTAGCCGTAAATTTTATTAATTAGTTCTGTAACATCATATAAATCACTGTAGGCTTGTCTGAGTGTATGAATCTGTAACACTTCCTCCGGTCGTTGATTGTTTGTTGTCATGGGAAGCTCGGACAGATAGTAGCTGTGAGATATTGGTGTTTCTGTTGAATTATTCGCCACGTTTTCAATTTGTATCGTCCTGAAATTTGGACGATTTATGACATTTTGGTGCTTTATTAAACTGTAATGAGATTCAAGAGATTTACTGCCACAGCTCGATGAAAGGTGTTCGTTCAGAATTCGAAATCTGTGTCTCAGTATTTGCATAATATTTATATACTGGATAATCATAATAGTGTTGGAGAAATTTGTGATGTCCTTACTAATAAGATAAATATAAGATGTGCCGTATGCCCATACGTACACATGATAACAGTAAAATCCAACGAGAAAAGCTACAAGTACAGACAGTTGTATCAATAAAATTAGTCGTGTTTTTCTGTAGATACCATCACGGTTTTCTTGCAAGAGAATCTGATCTATAGCAGTAAAATTTGTCATAACTGTTTCCACTCTGTTTCTGCTGAGTACAGCTCCAATAAGGAGAGAAGCGAAACAGGTCCCGTACATTAAGAATATCGTCAAAGCGTCTGGTACCGTGACATTCAACTTGTATTCTCTGTAATCGTAAAGAATGCTCCATATCATTATAGACAAGAAAGCTGTAAAGTGACTGAGAAAGATGAATAAACTCCAGATCACTGACGGTGACAACAGTTTTGAGGTTTTTTGTTCTCTGTTCACAGAAACATTTTTGTTGAACAAAAATGGAGCTAAACCTAATAGTTTAGAGACGTAGTACAGGGGTAAAACTGATGAGCGGAAATCCATTTTAATCTTTATATAGATGAATCACTAATTAAATATTTCCATAAACAAATTAGCTAATGAGGTTGATCACTTGTCTTTCTGTAAAAAAACTGTCATTTTGTCAAAACTATTCGTCACACGATAGACATGTCTGTGTTTCTATTTAGTTTTTCACTCCATACGCTCTGAAATTTTCACATCTTAAACACTGTCTTCTCCATATTTATCCTTATTCAAAGCTGTGATAGAATAGTACAAGAGTACTCTTTTCTTATCTGTTCTTTGTAGACCAGTCACATACAAATATTCGTGCTAAGTAAAATGATATGTTCTGTTATATGACTGATTTTATACTGATAAGTAACTTCCAAGAGCAAGATAAATTCAAATAGAATGTCATCGAACCTTGATATATCACTGGCGTTTAGTTTTGTGAGACGTAAATTAATCCCCCCTTCACGTTTATTGAAATGGAACTGTCTTGAAGTACATTCCGTTAACAACTCGCTGCCCGATAACACTTGCACTGAACCCAGAGCATTGACATCACTTGCGCTTTCATCGATCACACTATTGCTTCGAGAAAGATATGACTTACTGTAAATACAAGGTGAATTGAATTCATTATTAATTCACGTGCACACTTCCTTTACCGACGGAGTATTGAAAGGTAACTAACGAAATAATGTGGAGGGTGTTCATATCGTGTCAAGATTTATGTCTGATACGAGACACTGGGTGCGAATCGATATATTGTTTCCTCCTTCTGGCATGTGTGTACTTTTGTACTGTAAGTTGTATATATCAATAGAACACGTGTCAGGCTAGAAGTTAGCTGCCAGTTTTAGCCATAATAATTGTGAATGTTGACATAGGATCTCAGGGCGGCGAGTGTGAACATGACTGTCTTCTGTGATTTTGTGCCGTGTGGTGTGGTGGAAGGTTGTCGACGTTTCGGAGATTCTTACTTTCATATATCTCATACCAAGTTCTGCTTCCTCCCGAGGTCCCTCCTCCTTCCATTGGCTCACTTACTTTGCCTTCCCTCATCACTCACTCACTGAGCGGCGAAATACGCGTCTTAATGGTGGATGATCTTAACGCCATACACAAGAACTAGAATTCTAGGCTGATCACAGCAATGGGTTCACTCCTGTGTGATTACGCTAAAATACTGTATGTGACTGAGGTCACCCACGGGCAACTGGGCGACTAATGATCATCAGGCCAGCTGAGGCTGCCCCTGAAAAGGCAACCAAGTCGGCGCAAGGAGTGGTCGAACTACAGTCCACAGACCAGGAGAAAAGCCCTGCGGGGGGAAGTAGTTTCTGGTGCGGTGCAGAGGGAATGTTTCTTATCAGCTGGACTAGTGGGCTGTTATAGGTGGGAAGTGTGATACGTCAGAGTTTTACACTACTACACAGACTGAAAACATCGAGCAGTTAAGAGTATCGTGTAGTGAGTGCACCTGTACTGTGTTCTGTGCGTGTTGTGATAATATTCTAGATTAAATCGCTGTGCCACTGTGAGGTAATCTTAAAGCTATAGCCATTAGAACACATAAAAGTCTGTTGTTCGTTCAGTGGTTGTGGAACGAATGCTTTTATGATGGGTAGTCACTCACTGCGAAATCTTGCGCATGCGCGTAAATCGAATTCCTAGAAGGGCTTCTCTCCTGGTCTGTGGACTGTACTCGGCAACACAGACTAAGGATTTCCGTGATTTTCTTCAGTTATAAGGCAAAAGATAAGATATAATACAAAAGGGGCACGGCCCGCCCTCCACAATCATGGAGGCCTTCAGCCAAAGCGATTCTACCACTTCTGGGATAAAATACCAGACAGCCGTCCAACCAAAATCCTTCTCACAAAGGAAAAGTTTCCTCATGGAATAATCTCCCACCAGTAGCAATAGCCCCAAGTTTAAACACTCAGGGCTTTACGCTATGACAGAACTTCGACTAGCGTAAGCAAACACCCGTTCTCGTTTCACCATTTCCAAAAATGCGTTTCGTACGGAGGAATTGTGATGCCATATACAGGTCTTTAAAATTCTCAAGATCATAATTTTCACGCTTATTTCTGCTAAACCGTGAAAAACTGGTTGACCATGTTCATGTAAAAATGGGATCACATATAGATTAAGGTCATACCAAAGTCACGTCAAAATCAGCCCAATAATTTGGCAGATAGAGGTCTTTAAAAATTTCAAGGTCACATATTTCCACACTTATTTCTGCCAAACCGTAATAACTGGTTGACAATATTCATGTCAAATTTAGGCCGCGTATAGGTGAAGGTCATACCAAAGTCACAACAAGATCGACCCAATAGTTCGCCAGATACAGGTCTTTAAATTTTTCAAGGTCATATACTTTCTCGCTTATTTCTGCCAAACCGTAATAACTGGTTGACAATATTCATGTCAAATTTAGGCCGCGTATAGGTCAAGGTCATATGGAAGTTACAACAAGAACGGCCCAATAGTTTACCATATACAGGTATTTAAATTTTGTAAGGTCATACATTTTCTCTCTTATTTATGCCAAACCGTAAATAACTGTTTGACCATACTCATGTCAAATTTAGGTTACGTATAGGTCAAGGTCATATGGAAGTTACAACAAGATCGGCCCAATAGTTTGCCATATACAGGTATTTTAATTTTTCAAGGTCATACATTTTCTCGCTTATTTATGCCAAACGGTATATATCAGGTAGACCATACTCGTGTCAAATTTAGGCCATGTACAGGTCAAGGTCATATGGAAGTCACAACAAGATGGACCCAATAGTTTGACTGATACAGGTCTTTAAGTTTTTCAAGGTCATATATTTTCTCGCTTATTTCTGCCAAACCGTAAATAACTGTTTGACCATACTCATGTCAAATTTAGGCCGCGTATAGGTCAAGGTCATATGGAAGTCACAACAAGTTCGGCCCAATAGTTTGCCATATACAGGTATTTAAATTTTTCAAGGTCATACATTTTCTCGCTTATTTATGCCAAACCGTAAATAACTGTTTGACCATACTCATGTCAAATTTAGGCCGCGTATAGGTCAAGGTCATATGGAAGTTACAACAAGATCGGCCCAATAGTTTGTCAGATACATGTTTTTAAATTTTTCAAGGTCGTATCTTTCCTCAATTATTTCTGCCAAACCGTAAATATCTGGTAGACCATACTCATGTCACATATAGGCCACGTACAGGTCAAGGTCATATGGAAGTCACAACAAGATCGGCCCAATAGTTTGCCAGATACAGGTCTTTAAACTTTTCAAGGTCATATATTTTCTCGCATATTTCTGCCAAACCGTAAGTATCTGGTTGACTATACTCATGTCAAATTTAGGCCGCGTATAGATCAAGGTCACATGGAAGTCACAGCAATATCGGACCAACTGTTTGCCAGATACAGGTCTTTAAATTTTTCAAGGTCATATATTTTCACGCTTATTTCCTCCAAACCGTAAATACCTGTTTGACTACACTCATGTTAAAATGAGACCAAGGATAGCTCAAGCTCATGTCAAGACCACGACAAGATCACTTAAACTGTGTGAGAGTAAGAGGCCTCAAAGTATTCAAGGTCATTCGAAGTACTATTTTCTCACGCATTTACATAGATGACTGTATGAATCAGAGTGTCATTGCAAACTTCATTTAGACGTCACGGATGTGTCAAGGTCATGTATAGGTCACAATATGCAGTGAAATGAATGAACTTAAGAGGAAAAGTGTTTTCCATGTTTTGGAAGAAACAAATGTTGTGCAATTCGACTAACATAACACAGAAAAAAATTAGTAAATAATAGTTTGAATGTTTTGAAGACCTTCGCAGGTGTCTTCGAATAATTTTGTATAACCGATGAATTTGGCAAATCCTCTTATATTTTTTAACATTTTTCTCTAAATGGTTGGTTTAAAGTTGATTCACTTGCACGTGACACCTAAAAATAAACAATATATACGATAATCATAATAAAACACAGGCAATCTTAACAGAACACAACGTTCACTGTGTCTGGCAGCAACGGAGCACCTTGTTTTCAGTCGATACTTGCGCGACCAAAGCAAAATGAAGTTTGTAGCGACAATTAAAAGCTGGCATGGGGAAGGACAGGGGTGACATTGTGAATCCTAGGTTGTTCCATCAGCGAGCAATCATTGAGGAAATTGGTAGTAACAATCTATTAGAGGAAGTTGCCTGCGGCCTCTGTCTTCTGCGCTCAGCAGACATGTAACAGGCAGGCACCGCGGATTATGGAGAAAACAGGGTGGATCCTGAGGACTCCATGTCTGCCTCTGTAACTTTTTTAACTTGCATGTTTCTGTGATTAGTTATATTCTTTCCAGTAATAATGTAGAATTCAATGCCATAAATAAATTTTCTGTTAATATATTCACTCATTGCACATTGTGGGTGTCGAACAATGAAGACATTTGATAACAGGGTTCTTAGAAGAATGTTTGGACATAAGATACAGGAAATTACAGAAGGATGTATTGTTATTATCGTCCATAAATGCACAATTTTGCCCTATGCATCCAGGAGCTTAAAAATACAGCTCTGTTATTTTATAGGCCTAGTAGTCGCAAATGCGATGGCGTGTAGTGTGAATCGCCCTGGAGATGAGAAGTTAGACGACTCGAACGCTGCAAATTGCTTCCTTATTACAGATTGAAGCTCATGCGGCCCGGAAATTAATTTACCGGTTGAGTGATCTGTAGTTCACAATATGTCGACTTCCTCTCAAGTACCGCTACTTTCTGCTGATCACCTTTGGTGAGTGAAACGGACTTCCTCTGTTCTCTGGCTGTTGTTTATGTTCCTTTACTTCTCTATTCCATTTCCGGTCCCCAGTGGCGGTTTCGTAAAAACAAGAATTTATATCAATATTAGAGTTCAGTGAGAAATGAAAACAAATATATTTTATTATATTATTTTTATATTAGAGTCATTTTATCAATATAATGACACAAAGAACAACGATGCATAAGTGGTAACGGATGCACATTGCTTCTGT